TGAAATATCTCAAATTGCCTTCAAGGGCCTTTAAAGCCTAGTTTAAATAAATAAACGACATGATACATTTTAAGGAATTAATTTTAAAAGTAAAAGGTCTCTGGTGTAGCAAGTGGATATTTATGTTTTTACATCTAATCAGGACAGAAAAATGACTTTTTAAGGGTTATATGTTGAACAATCAAAAGTCCAGTGCAGCAGTGTCCCTGTTACATGATGCAGCATCTTTTTGTCCTAACTTTTAAACACACCAACTGTTCCTCTGTTCCCACGGCGGCCGCCAACCAGGGGCATTTGTTCCATGTCACTTCCCATCTCTTTATTTTATTCTCCGGCTAAAAACAAAAGGGTTTATATTTAAATGAAGGTTGACGTTAAATTAAAATATATTGTTGGTCACAGTTTATAATAAACTGATTGTAAATGCATTATTTACTTACAGTGTCTTCAGACTGTGGTTTTCCTTCATCTTAAGCTGTGCCAGTGTTGTCTTCTCCAGTTATTCCAGGAATTAAATTTTAAGTCACACTCCTTACAGATTATCTGATGCCCTTCTGTGCATCAAAATCTCTTCAAAGACATACTTTGTAAACACTTTGCCTGCCACAGTAGCTGTGTAACTGCAGGCCACTTTGCAGCCAGCTCATCCTTTCATTCGTTGTCTGATTTAATCCATTTTATAGTCTTTGTCTTTTCTAAACTTGCAGTATTTAATTTCTGACATACACTTAGACTTTTAGCTCATTACTCAGGGCCTCCATGAAGCCGTGGCGTTCAGGACTGCATCCCTAAAATGTCCTCTTTTCTCTTAGCGGTGGCAGCAGAAAAAGAGGGGACACCTGTGTTCAAATTCCCACGGTGGCGGGTTAAGGGGAAACCCATCCCAGAAGTGGTGGATGCCTACAAGGCGGTGGGTGCTGAGCTCAATGTCATGCCCTTCTGCTCACAGTTCATCCCCATGAACGTCATCGACCACCCAAAGCATGGCTCCATCATCTACCACCCCTCCATCCTGCCCCTGCACAGAGGAGCCTCAGCAATCAATTGGTGAGAAAGAAGGGGGTTCGAAAGGAGTTTGTTTGACAGCTTGGGATATGCTGGTGATACTGGTACACTGAACAAAGTGGATTTAATAATAAGGAATATAAATATTCTGTCCTATCAAAAGACAGGAAGGCTTAAGAAATGAGCCTTCCTGTCTTGTCAGAGGTTATTTTGGGGAAAAGACCCAACAGAAACAGAGCGACCAACAACGAGTAATCCCAATAAGGCAGAAAGTATCTCCATCGATTGTTGATGGGAAACTGGTCTCAGAGCGCACTGAGAGAGAGAGAGAGAGCTGTGCAGGAAGTGCGATTATTATTGTGATGGAAGCAAGGGGATCCACACTTTGTTTCCATAAAGTATCCTGATTACATGTTTTTGCAGAAGCTGTTTGCCTGCTCCTTGATCTGTTGTTGAAATTGGTTTATTCGCCTTTAGCTGAGATTCTGACATTCCTGTGGATACCACACGTCTATATTTAAATAACAGATCTGGCGGTACATCCCATTACACCCGATGTCCCCCCCCCCCCCCCCGGTACTGGGGGCCTTGGGGCTTAAACAATAAACAACAGGTTAATTGTTGTTGTTAGTGGCCTTGTTTAGCATGAATGGCTGTGTGGGAGGGGTTTATCAGTAGGAAAAGCTGTAAAACTCATGAAAATACAGTTAAAAGTCCAAAATGTATTCTTGTGCTTTTTTGCAGAGATCAAACACGTTAAGAATTATAAATGGCTTCAAGCGCACATTCAGGCCTGTGAGACTCATTTACACACTCATCCGTCTCTTTGTGCACCTGGCCTTTGCCAAAACACCTGCAACCTTTGGAACGTCTTCCCCCATCCTTCCTTACGTAATGGTACGATCCCAGTCTGTCTGTGCATGTGATTGGCCCACCTTTGCCTGTATGGACTCCCAGCAGTGCTGAAGCTTTGGCTCCAACATGCAAACAGTCCATGAATAACTGACATGTGTAATTATGTTTGCCACCCTGGTCTGGTAGGTTTAAACCTGCGATGTTTGACCTCAAACTCGAAGCAGCCTGGCTTTCTTATCTCTTCTACTTCCAACAACAAATCTCAACCCAAAAAAGGAAAAGTCTCCAAGCTCCTCCTTCATGAAAAACCCCAAACTCTCATGTTAAGTGAGGTTTCGAACTTATTTTCAGCACATCAGTGATCGACAAAGAGCACAGAGACAGTTTGCCCGAGCTGAAGGCTGAGACTCACCATAATGTAATGCTGGCTCAACAGGAGCATGAGTTATAGGTGTTGCTTTCAGATGTCTGCAGAAATCTTTCCCACGAGTTTCTTTAACTTAGCAAAGACTGCTAGCTAAGAACCGTCTAAAGCTCAAACTGTTCAGTGCAACTATAAATGTAGTTACGTATAAACATACTTTGATTAAAAAGAAAAACACTGCTCACCATTTTTCTCTAAGTAGAAAGCGATCGTTTTAAGGAAAGGACTGTTGAGAACATTTTCTTAGTAACATTTCAGCAGGCAGTAAAATATGGTATTTAACAGACCGCTGGGCACCTCTGCATGCATCTGTAATAGAACAACACAGTCGGGTCGATGTGTTTCCTGGTTTGACTGTCATAAGAAAGCTATGGGCTTGCTGGTGGTGGAGCGGTGTGCCATAAAACCTTCCTCATTATGGAATTCTTCCCTAACTTCCTTTCCTGGTTAGCTTTCTCCGCGTGCAGAGGCGCTGACACTTCACACTGAGCACGAGCCAGTTTAGCAGAAACGCTCACCCTGAAACAATAAATCAAAGATAATCAAATTTGTCTCTGTGTGGAACCTTTATGGTTAAAGTTGTCATGCAATACAGCTGTCATGTCACACAGTCAATGCGCTGAGTTGCCTTTAATAAGAAACCTGTTGCCCATACAACCTTAACGATGGCTTCTCCCCACTTTCTCTGTATTGCACCTTTAAAGGGCTCCCTGATTGTGGTTTTTTCTGGTTTCAGGATTAACTGTTAGTACACTGTAATGGTCTACTTTATAGCCTTTATCTGTTCTAAATATAATTGTTTAATGACACAGCTCTTTGTTTCCCTTTTATATGTCACCAGGACTCTGATCCATGGAGATAAGAAAGCCGGCTTCACAGTGTTCTGGGCTGATGATGGACTGGATACCGGACCCATCCTGCTGCAGCGCGAGTGTGATGTCGAGCCCAATGACACCGTGGACACACTGTACAACCGCTTCCTCTTCCCCGGGGGCATCAAGGCTATGGTAATCACATGGACCTCAGTATAATGAAAAGGACTAGTTCTAATCATTTGGACCTTCAGCATCTAAACCTACATTGCACTACTCCACCAACCCCAATGTTTGTGCTTGTGTTTGAACTGAAACACTGAGCTGTCACCTGGACTCTGTTTCTTGGTGCAGGTGGAGTCTGTGCAGCTCATTGCTGATGGAAAAGCCCCTCGGACTCCTCAGCCAGAGGAAGGAGCGAGCTATGAAGGCATTCAGAAGAAATCCAACGCCAAGGTGAACGTTAGACGGCAGTCTGAGATCAGGCACTACATCACATCAGGAACGTGCATCGGGTCTGGATTGCCATCAGGGGTGTATCCAGACCTTCAGAATGACGGTCTGAATATTATTCCTGCACAACAACTGTGTATGAGTCGGGTTGTTCGGCTTTATAATAGCTTACAGTAGAGTCTATCATTTATACGACCAAGCCCAAGTTAACCCCTCTTTCCACGTGCAGCTCGTACTCTGAACAGCTGCTCAGTGTAATAACTCTCTCACTGGAAATTTCCTATTAGCTGCGCAAGTGAGACTGGTTTGGGGTGGGTCTCCCTGTAACGTGAAAGCGCGAGGTGGAGCTGATCTTAGCTGCTTCCTGATTTGTCACATGGAGAGATGTTTGCTTGCAGCTATTACAAATGTGCTATTCCTGGAGCAGTCTTGTTTTCTAGCATCATTTTTCCACATGTTGCTAAATCGGAGGCCGTCAGCTGACCTTCCTTCTCTTTCTCGGAAACGTAGCTCAGGCACTGTTTACACTGGCTTCTTCTTGTGTCCCCCAGGTGAATCTGGCACAGCCAGCCGAGGCGATCCACAACTGGATCCGTGGCCACGACAAAGTCCCCGGTGCTTGGACGGTCATTGATGGCCAGGTGTGTTTTCCAGAATGACTGAGCAAAGATAATACCAAACATTCTGGATGTATTTTAAAATCTTCTCTGGGTCTGTCCTCAGTCTGTGACCCTTTATGGCTCCTCCATGTTGGGGGGGTCTGTACCCGAGGGCCAGCCGCTGGACATCGAGGGGGCTTCTCAGGCTGCTCGTGTCACCAAAAACGGGCTCGTCCTGTATGGAACTGACGGCAAAGCAGTGAGTGACCTTATAAAACAAATAACTGAGAGCAAACAAAAGCCGAGCTGGATGAGTGTGTCGGTGCCTCTATTAGCTATCAGACAGTGAACTCCAGAGGCAATAAGGTTAACTCAACCACAGCTGACTGAATCAAATGCACTGCCAGCATGCCCGTTTCATCTTTACTCTGTTTGTGCCACAGCTCCTAGTGAAGAACCTGCAGTTTGAAGATGGGAAAATGATTCCTGCTTCCAAATATTTCTCTTCTGGAGAAAGCGCCAGTGTGGAGCTGACCGATGACGAGAAGACAATGGCAGAGGAGATCAGGGCAAGTGAACCCCTGTGTTATCTGATTCTTTTTAGCCTGCTGTCTCCCAATAGACTGTAAATGATTTAAATGAAAGACATCAGCCCATTTAAAACATTTTTTTACTGCAGAACATCTGGAAGGGCATCCTCAGCAACGTGCCAGCCATTGAGGACACCACAGACTTCTTCAAGTCCGGCGCCGCCTCCATGGATGTGGTCAGGTGAGACGGATCAGTGCAGGGACTGCTCAGAAATGTTTTACCTCTTCTTGTTATCCACAGGTGGAGCAGTCTTTTCATTTTACAGATACAATTATGTCATGTATTTTAAGTTGTGTTGAAGATGGCACGCTCAGTTTCTAGTCAGCTCCGTTATACTGAGTTTAGGCCACATTTAAAATCTCCGATCTTTGGGCTCAAATCATGAATTCACTTTAAAAAACACAGTCTATACAGAACACTGTGCAGCTAACGCCTTCTTTAAATTTGTTATGGGTAAAAGATACTGGCTTATATCAGAAGTAACCTCTAGAATAAATGCATAGTATAGCTTTTATAAAGAAAACACCATGATAAACCAACGGTGTGCACATTTCACACAAAAAAGAGAAAGTCTGCATAATTTCAGGCTCTGATTCAATAACTGAATTCTACATTTAAAAGTTATTTCAAAGCAGATGTTTCAGTCCAGAGTACCTTTTTCCGACTTTTCCAACCTGACCAGTAAATCTTCATTTTGATATCAGTTATTGTGTTTGTTTGTATATGTCGGGGGTTTTCCACTGTGGACGTTGGAAACCACTACAGACTGTATATAAACAATGGACATAGCCACCCTGTTATCATTAATTGCTTTCAGATGCAGTTAGAAGCCTCAGCATGAGTTTAGCTGGTTGGCTTCATAAGCAAGCTGCGTTCATAAACAGTCCTCTGGTTTATGAACGCAGGTCCTCTAGTGGCCACTAGAGGACCTGCGTTCATAAACAGTCCAACACACAGATGCACGTAATAAAATACTCAATAATCATTTTACTCTCCGAGAGCACAGCGTCTTTGGAATGGATTCAGCCAAACAGGAAGTCACATTATTTCACAGATAATTCCATTAAAAATGCTTCACAAGGCACCAGCACAGTGAGGCCACAGCTCCCTGTGTGAACATCTGTCAGTCAGATTTGACAGATGTTTTTTTGTGTTAGCAATAAAAATCATTCACCTCACAGCTGTTATGAAGGGGTACACTATCCAAAGAGCCTAAAAGCTTTTTATACTGGACTACAAACATGGTTTTAATGCTGTGTTTGGGCATTTTAACATGGGTGTTTGTGCAGGTCCTCTAGTGGCCACTAGAGGACCTGCAGTTTTTTGTTTTCTTTTCCACTTATGGATTGGCTGCATTTTTCAGGGCTGTCTGCCTGGGGTAACCACACATAAATGTCTGCTTTTGTAATGTTAAGTGTCCTGTTGTGATTTGGCGCCATATAAATAAAATTGAATTGACGGCTGAATTGCATTGAATGGAATTGTAGCAATTGGAGAGTCTCCTGATACCAGTCTGGATAATACAAAAACCCTGACCCAGTCTCACTGCCAACAATGCAGCTTTAACACACACATTTATATGTGAATAATACATGAACAGAGATATTACATCCGAGGTGATTGGTTTATATCTCGCGCCCTTTAACCAGACAGCAGGAGCTTGGTGTGCGTGTCTCACCTTTAGTTGTTAACATGAATGTGAGTTCACCAAGCAGAAACAAAAGCTTATAAACGTGTAAAAACGCAGTGTGTGATAAAGAGCTGTCCTCACTGTGTGCAGACTGGTTGAGGAGGTGAAGCAGAAGTGTGCTGGCGTGCAGCTACAGAACGAGGATGTGTACATGGCCACCACATTCCAGGACTTCATCCAGATGTTTGTCCGCAAGCTGCGAGGAGAGGACCAGGAGGAGGAGCTCGTCGTTGATTATGTGAGTCTAAATCCGAGCTAAAGCAAAATCAATCAAGTAACGAGGGGAGATCCCGTCACTCAAACCCAGTTGGGGTTTTCTCCATTGTTACCTAGGCAACCAAAGACGTAAACAACATGACAGTGAAAATGCCATATCAGTGTTTCATCAACGGCAAGTTTGAGGATTCAGAAAATGGAAAGACCTATGATAGCATCAGCCCCACTGATGGATCCGTGAGTCACATGACCACACTCACTATGCTCAATGCACAGATTTTCCATGCCACGTTCACTGGATCATGTTTGACGATCTCAACCTTCAACCAGGTGATCTGTAAGGTGTCTTATGCCTCAGTGGGTGATGTGGACAGAGCTGTGGCTGCTGCCAAAGAAGCTTACGAAAATGGGCCCTGGGGCAAGATGAACCCCAGAGACAGAGGAAGTCTTCTTTACAGGTGAGTACCTCCCTCTAGAGGATTACTTTGGGGTTGCAGAAACATCAGAACTGTGGAGGGGGGGGGGGGTTTGGGGGAGAATCTGATCTAGATGATCATATTAAGATTTGGGAGACATCATCAGTAGTGGACCTTGGATTCATCGGGTGTTGCCAAGTTGGCATACCACAGCTTCTTACGCTCAATTGCTGCCTCCCATGGTACCGTCAGCTCAATGACGTACGCGAGTTTTCAGGAGTTAGACCAAAGGACGAGGTCTGGTCGCAAAATTGTTGTTATGATCTCTGTGGGAAAAATTAGCCTCTGATCCAAGTCCACTTGCATCTGCCAATCCCTGGCAACCTTCAGCGGGCCCAGGTCTGTGTTGAAGGGTTCGTCCTCGGCTTGTCTCCTTCCCGGGCAAACGTTGATGAACACTGACGCTCCTCTTGGTTCGCAAAGGTTGAGCGTTGATGGGTTTTCTTTTGCGCTCAACTTTCTCGGCTAGACACCTGAGAACCTGGTTGTGTCTCCATGTGTGTCTGCCCTGAGTAAGGCTAGTCCTACAACCAACCAAGATGTGCTTGAGTGTTGCTGGGACTGTACACAGGGGCAGGATGGGTCCTTTCCAAACCACAGCTGCAGATTTATTGGGGAAGGCAGCACATCGCATGTCGCTCGGATGATGAAACTTAGTCTATTAGACTCCATGTCCCAGATTTCACTCCATGAGAGTTCCCTCTTTTCCACACTCTCCCAATTCATCCAGCGACCCTGCTTGGCCAGCGCTCTGGCATGTCTGGCTGTTTCCTCCTGTCGCCGCACCTCCTCCACCACCATTTCCCGACGTTCGGTTACAGATACCTGTTGCCACTGAGGTGTTACTGCGCCAAGACCAAATCCTCCTCTGCCCTGTTGGACGTGACCTACCACGTCACGACGGTGAAGAGCAGATTTCGCCTGTAGCACCGATGTGGCCGGGGTCCACTTCCTCCCCGTTGCTAGGGTGGGAGCAGTGCCTCCCACTATGGGGTCCCGGGAGTCCGTGAGTGACATCTCAGGCCTCACTTGTGCACATTCAAACTCCGCTACCAGGCTAGAGATAGGCAATGACAGTATCCTGTCGCTGTAGAGTCCAACGCTGCTGAGGCACTTGGGAAGTCCGAGCCACTTCTTAGCGTAGGAGCTCACTAGCCTCTCTAGTCGATTGGCATGATTGAGTGAGACCTCGTACATTGTCAACGGCCACAGTAGTCTGGGTAATAACCCAAACTGGAAGCACCAGAGCTTCAGTTTCCCTGGGAGTGCAGTGTTGTTAATCCGCTGAGGTCATCCGCCAAGTTCTGCCTTAATTGTTCTAGTTGCCACGTATCACTGAGGTCTGCATCGTCCCACTGTCCCAGGCTCTTTATGGGCTTCTCTAAGACTGTTGGAATTGGTTCTCCACGGATATAGAATAGATATAGAGAGTTAACATCGAGCTCCTCCCTTCAGGCTTGCTGACCTGATGGAGGAACATCAGGAGGAGCTGGCCACCATCGAGTCCATCGACTCAGGAGCCGTGTACACGCTGGCCCTCAAGACACATGTCGGCATGTCCATCCAAACCTTCCGTTACTTTGCTGGCTGGTGTGACAAGATCCAGGTAGGTGAAGGTTTCTCAGGGTTTGTGTGTTAGTGGCACACAACCTAAGCTCTTCACTTCAGCACACTCTGTCTGTTTTCTGCAGGGTAAGACGATTCCCATCAACCAAGCCCGGCCCAACCGCAACCTGACCTTCACTAAGAAAGAGCCTCTGGGGTAAAAGCTCTGCATTCACTAACCTGAACCTAATTATCCTCAGCTGTTTAGACAGTATATGCATTTCTGTGGATTTCACTGACTGAAGAGCTTATTTCCTGTCACAGTGTGTGTGCCATAGTCATCCCGTGGAACTACCCTCTCATGATGCTGGCGTGGAAGAGTGCAGCTTGCCTGGCAGCTGGAAACACGCTGGTTCTCAAACCTGCACAGGTGGGTTCATTGTTCCTCGTGCTGTGTACTGTTTCAGTTCTTCCTGGGCATTTTATGTGTTGTAATGATTATTTTTGATATTTACAGGTCACTCCACTGACCGCACTAAAGTTTGCTGAGCTTTCAGTGAAGGCAGGCATCCCAAAAGGAGTCATCAATATTTTACCAGGCTCTGGTAATGAACAGTATCTGTATAGTTTAAACAGGCTCTTTTTGGTTATTCCTTCTTTAGGGAAAGTTCTCAAAGATCAGCGCTGTGAGCACTTCAGTTCTTCTCTCTGTGCTTCATTTGCATCGTTTTAGTAGCCTGGAGAGCTAAAACTGTACGATCACAGCAGGAAAAAGGAGCATTTCTTGTTTGTCCTTCAGCCTGTGTGCATTTTTGTGACGACAACATTAGAAATAGCTGTAGGCAAAACTACTCACAGCACGTGTAGAAGTGTCCAGTTGACTGCAGCACATGTGGAAGATTGTGTTATCCCCCTGGGCTCTGTCACGTGACCTTCTCGATCTCCTCCAGGTGGTGTGGTGGGACAGCGTCTGTCCGAGCACCCAGACATCCGCAAGCTGGGCTTCACCGGCTCTACGCCTATCGGCAAACAGATCATGAAGAGGTAAAACCCGGCTGACTCTTACAGGTCGCACACCACAGCTGCACAGTACTTTACTCTCTCTCTCTCACAGCTGTGCAGTCAGTAATCTGAAGAAAGTTTCTCTGGAGCTCGGGGGGAAGTCCCCCCTCCTCATCTTCAGTGACTGCGACATGGATAAGGCTGTTCGCATGGTGAGGGAACAACGCTCAGGGAACCAATTTGTGATATTTTGTAGACCAGTTAGTTGTGCATAGAAATATTAATTATGAATAATCACGAGACAGTTCGGTTCCTTTCAAGGTTCTGGTGTTGGTGAGATCCTGAAACGCCACAGAGTGTGACTGAAATGGCACACTGATGCTTGTGTGTTTGTGCGTGCTGCCTCACAGGGCATGAGCTCGGTGTTTTTCAACAAGGGCGAGAACTGCATCGCTGCCGGCCGTCTCTTTGTGGAGGAGTCCATACACGACGAGTTCATTGACCGAGTGGTGAGTGCCGAAACAGCCATCATGTGACTTTAGAAGAAGCAGAAGAAGCCAAACCGGCATTATTAGCTGTCAGAAAAATCATAATCCTGTCTTTACACCCTCTCCTTAAAAGGTGGAGGAGATCAAGAAGATGAAGATCGGAGACCCCCTGGATCGCTCCACAGACCACGGCCCACAGAACCACAAAGCCCACTTGGACAAGCTGCTGGAGTACTGTGAGATCGGGGTGAAGGAGGGAGCCACACTGGTGTACGGAGGCACACGGGTCGACAGGCCAGGTAGAACACGCCCCTCTCTGGAGGCTAAATGGCTGCTACACTCGTCCTCTGTTGTTTTAGTCCTTGAATACTGCATGTAAGAACAGAAAGATGATTTTCATTACCAATTTAATGTCTCATCTAAAGATTGTTTCTCTTTCAAAAACCAGCCAAATAACTGGGAGCATGAAGTTGGTGCAGAAAAAGCACAAATCGGATTCTAATATATGAGCAAGTTAGGTTGCACCAGCACTGACTGTGGAATCGGTACATTCAGGCCTTATCATGGAATATTCAAACAAACTATTATTTGAAATCTGGCTTCTTGAAACCACAGTATAGATTTATAGTTTTCACATGGTCATTGATACCAAATCTATTTTTCCAACATCCATTACGAGCCTGTCACAATAAAAGCACCTGACAGGGCTCAGTCATGGAGCACGAATTCATTTTTTTAAATGACATAAAACAAGAAAGGTCAAATAAAACAGTAAAGCTGCTGTAACGCAGTTCATCACAGCGCGATTATGGGCGCCCGTCTTCCTTCAGGTTTCTTCATGGAGCCCACCGTGTTCACTGATGTGGAGGACCACATGTTCCTCGCCAAAGAAGAGTCCTTTGGTCCCGTCATGGTGGTGTCCAAATTTAAGGACGGGTAAGTCGAGGGTAACGAGTATCACACCGTCGAGTCGTGGCTCAGTGTTTCATATCCTCGCTCTGCTCTTTTCCTCCAACCTCCAGAGATGTGGACGGCGTGCTGCAGAGAGCCAATGACACGGAGTACGGTCTGGCTTCAGGCGTGTTCACGCGCGACATTAACAAGGCCATGTATGTGAGCGAGCGGCTGGAGGCTGGAACCGTGTTTGTGAACACCTACAACAAGACTGATGTTGCCACACCTTTTGGGGGTTTCAAGCAGTCAGGCTTTGGCAAAGACCTCGGTGAGAAGACAACTGGAATTTATTACATTTATTTAATATTATATTCAAATTTTATCTGTCACACACACAACCATACACAGTATGACATGAGGTGAAATGCTTGTAGCTGTGCGATGCAATGCCCGACCATTAAATGAAAGTGGTTTTACAGTATTTACAATTTACAGGTTATACAAAATTTACATGAGTAGGGCTGTTTCAATTCTGACTTTTGAATTGATGCTAGCTGGCGTGGTGGTCACGCTTACTGATAAGCTTCTGTTATTCACAGTAAATATATGACGTTATTATAACTCCTTTTTTTAAAGTAGGAAACCTTTTGTCCCACAAGCTTTTAACAAGTTGTCGTTTGTGTCCACAGGTGAGGATGCTCTCATGGAATATCTCAAGACCAAAGCAGTGACAGTGGAATACTGAGGCTCACAATCTCCCAATGAACTCTGAACAAGAACAGGAACTCTGTGTGTGTGTGTGTGTGTGTGTGTGTGTGTGTGTGTGTGTGTGTGTGTGTGTGTGTGTGCGTGTGTGTGTGTGCGTGTGTGTGTGTGCGTGTGCGCGCGTGCGCGTGTGTGTGCGCAAATGGTTCAGAGCATGTGTACTGTATGAGTGATGGGGGAAAGCTTGGTTGACCTTGAGGTGGACAACATGCCTTCTTTGTTTTGCGGTCATGTTTCCACAGCTGGTCCCTGAGGAGCCGAGCTGCTCCTGGCTGTACTTTTAAAGATGTAAAAATAATTAGCACAGCAAAAAATCTAAACACTATCAGTTATCTTCACTGATTCGTCCATAGTCATGCTGCCTTCTTCATCCCTTTAAGACCTTTTTACAATGTTTTTTACCTTTCTCTGGTTTTTCATTCTTGGATCACCTGATCTGTGTACTGCCATCAGGGTGCCGTGTGTGCTGGATGCTTTTCGGCTCACGTTTACTCACCCACGAATACTGCAGCTTTGTGTAGGCTGCAAACAAAATAGCAATATTAAACATCCATACTGGTCAGAAAAATGGGGATGTTTGAGTCTAGAAAGCAGCATTAAAATAGCTTTACAAATTTTCAGGAAGCTTCCTGATCAGCGGTGCTCAGCACACAGTTCTGGAACAAGGCTAGGAAAACAGAAGACACGTAAACCGTGTGAGAAGCAGGATAAACTGAGGCCAGCGGTCAGGACATCACTGTTTGGATAGACGTCGATCTCTTTGGCTGTAAATGTAAACTTTTCTGACTTTCTGATCAGACCCACAGATCTTTGATGAATGTTAATGATGAAAACAATGTAGAAACTGATTTTAAGCTTTCAGATTTTAGTCAGAACAACTACATAAGAGCTCAGAGACTGGAGCGTGTAATCCAGAGCAGTTAAGTCACGTTTTAAGTTCCTTTCAGCTTTTCCTCGTGTTTCGGGTCATTTTCTTTGGTTCGCTGCGTCACATCAAACAATCCTGATTTCCTGAAATGGTTGCTTAGCAGCTGAATTTAAAATGTCAAAGAATCAATGTGAGATATTTCTAAGCTGTGATGAACCGCCTCGAGCTGGGTGCTGCATTAGAACTGAGCTAAGCCAGTATTTAACGTCACTGTTAGTTTAGCTGTTTACATCACGTCCGTTCAGACATCCTGACACATCCACTCGGTGTCCAAACGTCACTTTCTGTGTAAATACTTTTTTAAACAGGTTAAAAAGACTCTTTGATACATTTTGACCTTGTATTTGTGAACTGCAGCAGGACTATGTAGTGTTCTCTATTCATTAAAGTACACCAGCCAGATGTTTTATACATCGATCATGTGACAAAGTTGTAAACTTAATTTTCTAATTATGCCACATTGTCAGTGAAGGCAGCGCGGGCTACGATGCAAATGTTTCTCAGTCTTTATGAGAGCGATCGTGTCAATAAACAGTAAGGCTCCAGCAAGCTTGGTGTCCATTTGACTTTGTAATGCTGACGTTGATTAAAGGCGCTGCGCAGAAACACTCGTTTCAGTGTTTTATAGGATGGACCACGATCTGATGATCAGTCATTAAAAACTGTTGAATACAAACATTGTGACTCACAGGGTGAAACATGCATTCGGGGGCAGTTTTTAGGCATTTTGTGTTTTCAGCTTTTACAAAAATTACCATTCAATGTCATTAAACTTTATTCAGTTGGTTCAAAATCACATTCACAGCCTTGTTTCAAAAAAGGAGAGAATCTGTGGAAAATATAAATATAATTCTTAACAGAAGTGAAAACAACAAATATACACAGAGGCTCGGATTCTAAAAGCTGAGAGCGCTTTATGCTGTGCACTTTAAGCATTGTTTGTCACACTGGGTACATGATGAGGGTACAGTATGTTGCTCAGGCGAGTGCTGTCAGTGAGCCTGCTGTATCCACAAACACAAAGAAGAAACAGGCGCCTCATGTGGTGTAAAACTGTCCAATGACAGATGCTGCATCCACGGAGACAAAGACTATATGCTGCACAGTTCAAGTGCCAGCATCTGCAATGGGATCCAGGATCATTCATCCATCTGTACTCACAATTCACTTCCTGCTTCAGCAGAGAGCTGAAGGGAACGGTTTGAAGCCCAAACTGATGCAAGGATGTGTTCACGTTCATGAAGCAGAGGACGAGGAGACAACACAGCATGCAGACATCGTGGTCACAGGGCAGACTCCCAGCATTTGTTCTGGCTCTATGGGCAGGTTGTGTGCACATTTCAGTGTTCACTGTACTCCCACAGGCAGCAGCTGTTCTGTCCGCTGTCTGTGTGTGAAGAAGGTTTGAAAGAAACAAAAGAAACTCCGACATGACATCTGAGGATCTCGTTGGCAAAACGTTTCCCATGGAAAAGAAACTAAAGGTCCCTCTGTCTGACTCATCTACTCCCCCTGCTGGTCCAGGACCAGGATGTTGACTTTCTTTTTCTTGCCTTTGTCTCCGGGCAGTTTAAAGTTCTGCTCTGTGACCTCGCCGTCATCGTCGCTGCAGTCCGACTCCTCAGAGTCCGACGTCTCGCTGTCACCTGACTCATTGAGCTCCACGAGTGCTACATCCTGAGGACACGGGGACAAAATTACACGACTGGTGAAAGACGCACTTAAAGCAGCTAAATGGAGAAAAACTGATTAAATGAGCAGTAGATTGAGACTTATCCATCACCAGAAGAACAAATAAAATTTGTCATTTACAAAAGTGTTCAGAGCCTTAACTCAGTGCTGCGTGGAAGCGTCTGCAGCAGCAACTCATGGCTACCTGGATTTTGGCAGCTTGTGTGCCACGTTCACATCTTTGCAGCGCTGTTGGGGACAGTTAGCTGTTCTGAAACGATCTCTGCCCCGGGTGTTGAGAAGAGCACACACAGAATGATGATGCCACCATCATGCTTGTCTTTATGGACGTTAATAGAAAGTAATAAATAGTACAGACAGTTTGGGTCTTTTTTGTTGTCAAAATAAGGGACCGACTCTCCTCGTGTGCTCCGAATTCCTTAAACGGAGCTCTTAATAGAGTCGATTTCAGTTTTTCACTTTTGTTTTGGAAACGCAGGAAAGAATTAAGAACAGGACAAAAACAGTAAATTAATGCTAACTGAACTGCACTTAAGTTGTAATGTTGAATAAAAGTATGATGGTTCAAAGATTAACGTCCTGTGTAAGGCTGGGCGATAGGGCCTAAAATTCTATCATGATATAATTTGAAGCACGAGCGGTAACGATATATATCGCGATATATTCTTTTCTTCTGTATAACGTATTTTCCACACTAGAAGGACTTAAAATCCTTTAATTTTCTCAAAAATCAAGAGTGACTTATGTATGAATTCTGGTTGTGCTTACTGACCTCGAACCGATTTCTGTGGAAATCTGTTAAAAAAATGTTTTAGTACAACTTTGGTAAGCCGCACTGCTTGATGGATCGTCAGAGCATTACAGCTGCCGTAGTGAGGAGCTTCGCGGAGTAATCTGGGTCCAAAACTCCGTCAGCTTCAGGTCCCAAAGTCAAACGAACACAGAGTTAAAAACGGTCTAAATTCTTTCGTCTTTAATTAAATCATCAGCGTTGCTGCTTTACCAGGTGTAACAATTAAGTTTTACATCCATGAAAACAGAATTTATTAAATTTAACGGAGTTAGAAGTTAACAGGAAGTTAGCTCGCTAGCTTCCACCTAAACATTTCATACCATGTTCTGAGAGATTTTTGAAACTAATTCAAACATACAGCTCTGCTACCACTTCCGACATAAATGAAGACAGAAACTAAACAGCAGTGACGTTTGCAGGGTTACTGAAGTTGGGCTAGCTGGTGCTACGTGCTAGCTGGTGGTGCTAGCTGGTGCTACGTGATTGCTAGCAACACAGCTATGTTAGCAAAACATTAGCACAGTGAAGCTGGAGGACGAACGCCAACTTTTTTTCCACTCGATAAAAGTTAACGTGAGGGATTCTGGTGGTCAGGGACAAATGCAGTCGCATAGCAGGATGCTGTACACGGGCCAAACTTCAGTCAAGAGAACAACTGACATAATACATCCACAATACGAGGTTAGTCATTAATATACTGCAACAACATGGGAACAGAACAGCTGCGAGAGAATTCAACATTAATGAATCGATGTTACGGAAGTGGAGGAAGCGCAGTTTTTGGCTTTCCCCATATTTCAGAAGTGCTTCATCTCTTTGCTATGACTGTCGCCCGCCATCATTTGCAGATGATAATGGTTGTAGCCGCTGCGATGCTTTCGACCAAAACAGGCGCAGCTTGATGACATCATCAACATGCGCTATCGCGATAGAGCGGTATAGTCAAAATCTCTATCGTTGGCCAAATTTATATCGTTTCTATCGTATATCGTTTACATCGCCCCCCCCTAGTCGTGTGCTGCTGTTGGAAAAACAAGGCTCAGTACTGTAACACTTCCCCCACATGCTGCACGTCTAATTGTGTTTACATGGTGACAACTGAGCTCTACAGAGTTGCAGTTTAAACAAAGGTAAGAAAAAAATATGCATGTATGTAACAGAGTTATTTGAGTTACTCGATGCATTGCTGCAGTCCTAGCAGTCACACACAGCAGACCTCTTTGGAATAACGCAGCCCTTGTATGAAAGGAGCTGCCAGATTTACCCAGAGACCAGCTGCCCTAACCTCCAACACATCTCTACTGCAGAGTCCTTTATGTTCCATGTCACAGTTCAGTACGTCACTAGATGGTGGCAGTGCAGCTGGTTCAGGGCAGGCCGATACTCACCATCTCTATGACCCTCTCTGCCTCGTCCACACTCTCTATGTCAAAGCGTCCAGCAGGAGCCTCCTCCATCTGTCTTTTCAGCTTCTCGTTGGCCTCCGCCATCTGAGGGAGGAAGCTCTGCAGCCGGTCCAGAACTGATTCACAGAGAAAGACCCGCACACACACACATCACTAAACATCACTCTTATGCTTTTTGGTAGATCAACCATCGACCAACTTGTCACTAAAAAGAATGCTTGACATTCTCACCGCTGCTTCTGGGGACTCTCTCTGTCTGCAGTGATCTTCCAGCTTTTGGATTGAGGAGAAGCTTCTCACTGAGACCTAGCAGCACAACACACAGATCAGTTACTCCTCATGACCAAACTTATGCTCCTATACTGCGGGAAAAGAAAGACACGTTTCTCATGAGTGGGTTAATGTGTAGGAATCCTTTCAATCTTTTAAATACAGCAGTTGTGGCAACATGTCCCTGATAGAGGTCCCTAAGAAAGTTAGTGAAATGACCATTCTGTGTAGCTAAGATTTGGGTTTACTCTAGTCAGCACAATGATTAATCTAAATCTGGAAAGCTGCAGAGAAAGTTGCCAAAGTGAGAAATAATCAGGCATCAATCAGTCTATCCGGATGGACCACAAAGTTGGGTCACAGCAGCAGCAGGGAGGATACTCCAAATGTCCTTCTCCCACCCAGTGCTTTCCCGGTCCTCCCAGGGGAGAGTTGGATGACATACCACACTCTAATTTATAATGTGAATCCAAATATAGACAAAAAATAAATAAAAACAACAGAAAAGGAAAATGCAGACTTTGACATGGTGTGTGAAGATTGGTTTGACGTCACTTCAGCACGGGGGAAACAATTATTTGATACACAAATAAAGCAACAGTCTCTAATGTCTCTAACGGCACTGTTACTCTGACAGACATCCACAGAAACCTCCAACAAAACATCGCAGAAACATTATAACCTGATTTACGGGGCATTAAGTGAAAGAAGTCACTTTTACCCAGTGTGGAGTCTTTTTCTGCGTTTGTGGCTGACATGTTTCTCTACATTCAAAAACTACCATCAAAATTAGAGACTGTCCGTTTATTTATAAGTAAAAATGTTTTTCCCCACGCTGTAAACACGTGATCCGTGGACTTTGTTTTACTTCCATTAGTCTAAGATGGGTTTATTTGTTATAAAGGTCGACTACGTTTCAATTAAGGACTCAACATGCCCTGCAGAGTCACAGCACTGAACTGTGGCACTAAAGTTACCGAGTAGGAGGAAATCAGGCCTCAGCACGATGACTACAGTTAGAGAGCCTGAAGTCAAAGCAACGACCGCAGTTTTTTAGGACCGTGTTTGTACGAAATCTTTAGGTAATAACTTTGTTTATATGACGCTGGCAATGATTTAACTAAACGTGTAGTTTTCATTACTCCATGTAGCTGCTTACATATATAGTATTTTACAACAAAATACTGACACGGAAGCTGGCTTTCCTGTACGAATGCGCAGTTTAGGCTCTGTACTTCTTCCCAGTCCAACTCTCCTGACATTTTGACAAAACAAAGAAATAAAAAGCATCCAAACCTCCTCCGTTACCACACGACAGCAACGCCTGCGAGCTCGTTGTCTTTACGTTTAATTCCATGTTAGATTTAGAGAGGACACGATAATGTTTTCCTCCACATGTGGGTTTTTTTTTTGGTCCACATCCGTGTGAAAGGTAGGGACAACGCTTGTTTTAGGAATTATACAGCGCCCCCTGGTGTTTGGGATGAACGCTAGCGTTTACACACACATTCCGAGCTCCTTACTACACACTGTCAGGTTTTATACAAATATTTTGGCTGGCTTTTCATACCTGGCTTTATTCCAGTGGGATTCAAATTACCCCATTTACCTGAAATATGATAATGTTTGGAGTGTTTTTTGAAAGAAAAGAAAGCTAATTATGGTGTTAATGTGTTATTAATCTTGTGCAAGCAATTTCTACATAAATGTCGTTTTTTTTAAGACCAAACCAACACTAGCTTACTGGAAAAACGACCTAAACCTGTTGGTTAAATCTTTGACTTTAGTTAAAAAGAAAAAGGCTGCTTTTTTGTTTCCTTTGTGGAAGATTTTGATTTAGTGAGTTAATAATCTGTTAAATTATGTGACCCCATCTTTATATTTTCTTTTTCCTATGTATGAAAGTTGCTAATATGTAAGGAATGTTTATTCTCTGAATGTGTAATATATGGTGCATTTTTTTGTATGTTAATTTTACTAATAAAAAACAAAACAAAACAAAAACCCAACTACACACTGTTAGGTGTAAAGATTACGCACATCCTCTAGATGTGGACCGAGACTATCAGGTTTAAACTCCCCAGCTGATAGACTCGGCTTACCTGCAATTAATACTACCAAAACTACCACTATGTAATGTGGGTAATACAATAAAAATTATATCTGAAAGTTTTGTTCTAATCCGCTGAAGCCAGCTGATGTTTTATTCTATAGCAGTAATGTTAATGCAGTCGAAGATTAAAAGTGCATTACTTAATATAGATGTGAGGAAAACCATCCCATTTGTCGGACATACTACAGCGGGGAAAATAAGTATTTGACACATCAGCATTTCCATCAGTAAGGGGATTTCTAAGTGGACTATTGACACAACATTTCCACCAGATGTTGCCATCAAGCCAAATATTGAATTCATACAAACAAATCAGAACATTGAAGTATACAAGCCAAACCACAATAAATAAAGTGAAATGACACAGGGAATAAGTATTGAACACACTTTATTTAATACTTTGTAGAAAAGCCTTTGTTGGTGATTACAGCTTCTAGACGCCTCTTGTATGGATAGACCAGTCGTCTGCATTGCTCAGGAGTGATTCTGGCCCATTCTTCCACACAAACGGTCTTTAAATCTTGAAGGTTCCTTGGGCCTCCTCTCTGCGCAGCGGTCTTCCAAGAAGGAGAAGGAATGTGATCACAGGAGGGGGGGGGGAGGGAGGACCACCGTCAGAACTGATCACGAGAAAGACCCGCACACACACATATCACTAAACATCACTCTTATGCTTTTTGGTAGATCAACCATCGACCAACTTGTCACTAAAAAGAATGCTTGACATTCTCACCGCTGCTTCTGGGGACTCTCTCTGTCTGCAGTGATCTTCCAGCTTTTGGATTGAGGAGAAGCTTCTCACTGAGACCTAGCAGCACAACACACAGATCAGTTACTCCTCATGACCAAACTTATGCTCCTATACTGCGGGAAAAGAAAGACACGTTTCTCATGAGTGGGTTAATGTGTAGGAATCCTTTCAATCTTTTAAATACAGCAGTTGTGGCAACACGTCCCTGATAGAGGTCCCTAAGAAAGTTAGTGAAATGACCATTCTGTGTAGCTAAGATTTGGGTTTACTCTAGTCAGCACAATGATTAATCTAAATCTCTCATGGTCTGGAAAGCTGCAGAGAAAGTTGCCAAAGTGAGAAATAATCAGGCATCAATCAGTCTATCCGGATGGACCACAAAGTTGGGTCACAGCAGCAGCAGGGAGGATACTCCAAATGTCCTTCTCCCACCCAGTGCTTTCCCGGTCCTCCCAGGGGAGAGTTGGATGACATACCACACTCTAATTTATAATGTGAATCCAAATATAGACAAAAAATAAATAAAAACAACAGAAAAGGAAAATGCAGACTTTGACATGGTGTGTGAAGATTGGTTTGACGTCACTTCAGCACGGGGGAAACAATTATTTGATACACAAATAAAGCAACAGTCTCTAATGTCTCTAACGGCACTGTTACTCTAACTGACAGACATCCACAGAAACCTCCAACAAAACATCGCAGAAACATTATAACCTGATTTACGGGGCATTAAGTGAAAGAAGTCACTTTTACCCAGTGTGGAGTCTTTTTCTGCGTTTGTGGCTGACATGTTTCTCTACATTCAAAAACTACCATCAAAATTAGAGACTGTCCGTTTATTTATAAGTAAAAATGTTTTTCCCCACGCTGTAAACACGTGATCCGTGGACTTTGTTTTACTTCCATTAGTCTAAGATGGGTTTATTTGTTATAAAGGTCGACTACGTTTCAATTAAGGACTCAACATGCCCTGCAGAGTCACAGCACTGAACTGTGGCACTAAAGTTACCGAGTAGGAGGAAATCAGGCCTCAGCACGATGACTACAGTTAGAGAGCCTGAAGTCAAAGCAACGACCGCAGTTTTTTAGGACCGTGTTTGTACGAAATCTTTAGGTAATAACTTTGTTTATATGACGCTGGCAATGATTTAACTAAACGTGTAGTTTTCATTACTCCATGTAGCTGCTTACATATATAGTATTTTACAACAAAATACTGACACGGAAGCTGGCTTTCCTGTACGAATGCGCAGTTTAGGCTCTGTACTTCTTCCCAGTCCAACTCTCCTGACATTTTGACAAAACAAAGAAATAAAAAGCATCCAAACCTCCTCCGTTACCACACGACAGCAACGCCTGCGAGCTCGTTGTCTTTACGTTTAATTCCATGTTAGATTTAGAGAGGACACGATAATGTTTTCCTCCACATGTGGTTTTTTTTTGGTCCACATCCGTGTGAAAGGTAGGGACAACGCTTGTTTTAGGAATTATACAGCGCCCCCTGGTGTTTGGGATGAACGCTAGCGTTTACACACACATTCCGAGCTCCTTACTACACACTGTGCAGGTTTTATACAAATATTTTGGTTGGATTTTCATACCTGGCTTTATTCCAGTGGGATTCAAATTACCCCATTTACCTTAAATATGATAATGTTTGGAGTGTTTTTGAAAGAAAAGAAAGCTAATTATGGTGTTAATGTGTTATTAATCTTGTGCAAGCAATTTATACATAAATGTCGTTTTTTTAAGACCAAACCAACACTAGCTTACTGGAAAAACGACTTAAACCTGTTGGTTAAATCTTTGACTTTAGTTAAAAAGAAAAAGGCTGCTTTTTTGTTTCCTTTGTGGAAGATTTTGATTTAGTGAGTTAATAATCTGTTAAATTATGTGACCCCATCTTTATATTTTCTTTTTCCTATGTATGAAAGTTGCTAATATGTAAGGAATGTTATTCTCTGAATGTGTAATATATGGTGCATTTTGTTTGTATGTTAATTTTACTAATAAAAAACAAAACAAAACAAAAACCCAACTACACACTGTTAGGTGTAAAGATTACGCACATCCTCCAGATGTGGACCGAGACTATCAGGTTTAAACTCCCCAGCTGATAGACTCGGCTTACCTGCAATTAATACTACCAAAACTACCACTATGTAATGTGGGTAATACAATAAAAATTATATCTGAAAGTTTTGTTCTAATCCGCTGAAGCCAGCTGATGTTTTATTCTATAGCAGTAATGTTAATGCAGTCGAAGATTAAAAGTGCATTACTTAATATAGATGTGAGGAAAACCATCCCATTTGTCGGACATAC